GTTAGAAGGCAATTTATAGTGGCCAGACCATTCTATGAAAACTTCAACTGTTGGTTTGAGTCTTGCAGAGACAGGTAGACTACCTGAATGATACAAATCAATAGCTGGAAACCCTTTTCCCAGGTTCTACGTTGATCCGTGTGTCTATCACTAGCTACAATAAATTCTGATGCGAGATAACACTATTCGTCAAGTAATAGAGGTGAATTACAGAAAATCATATATTTGGAAAAGATAACATGTATCACTGCAAAAGTTGAGATAACCACCTACGTGGTAAATGAGTCGTATTTCTAAATATCGTAACTACTGCAAAATGACATCCCTTCCAAACTGAAAATACTGGCATATAGAGAGTTAGGTGAAATATTTTATACATCTGCTAGTGTCTGGTGACTTATAATCGATCCATACTTTGAACTTTATTCAACATTTTTATAGGTTCAGCTTTTGAGATCACATATTATAATTACCAAACTGCAATTACCATTTGATATAATGATAGCCTCAATTACATATCAAGATGCGACCAAAATTATTCGAGAAAAGAAGTTTTAATATCTCTGCATCAAAAAACTAGAAAAAATAATCTGTTCACCTGATTTTCGAATCACATTACATAATTTGTTAGCTTATTTACATGCAAAAAATATTGACGAGTTAATTCGAAAGCATTTTGCAGATAATGGTAAATCTGATGAAATAATAAATTTCATGGCCTTGAGCATCACTTTATTGAGTGGTACAAAATGAATAAGAAATGAACTGTATGATAAATAAGGACACAGAGTAGTATTCTGAATAATGTAATTACTTTCATATCTTTTTTTACTAAAATCTTGACATATTAAACCGAAATTGTTGGAATAAATTAGTAATGCATCACTTACTTTAAGTCTAAGTAATCGATAGCAGTTTTACAATATTTATCCAAAAAATAGTCATTAAATGTATAACATTTGTGCATAATCTTTATCACAAGTCAGTACACCGAGAAAAGTACTGAAAAGTCACACAAGTCCTAAACTCAGGTTTCTATGTATCATGCTCCACTGACTAGTCAATATTTCACATTTTTAAGTTTTAGATCTCATAATCGATAGACGATATACTTATATTCTCGGTCTGTACCTTCCGGTCACCTTCAGGCTTTTTGTCAAACAAAGTGCTTTCTAGAAAGGTACTAACATATTGTTATGGTTAATTATCATGATTACTAGCCTCTTAATCAGTATGCATCATAAATAAAACTTACTTTTAAAATTTGGAAAATCCCAAAGTGTATTGCAGCCATTAAAACAAATCATTACCTTACTGAATTAAGTAAACCTTAATGAAAAATTTAGCTTTACTTCAAAGGAAATTTACTGCAAAGTAAACGCTAGTAAATCAAATTAACTGACTGGAATGAATGAAATTATTTTGCGGTTAATTAGAATTCACATGGTTATTCAGAAGTTGCATATATATTAGTGTGTTGAGGAGGGGTAACAGAACTGTTGTTTCAATGCAAACCTCTGTAAATGCTATAAAAATACTACGACCTTGATTTTACGTCTGATAACTGAGCATCAAACGAATGGATTAGTTGTAAAACCTCCACCATAGGCACTAAGAAACCGGCTATTAGTAACAGTTTTCTCTAGATAAACATATCGGGATTACCAGATTTATATCATCAGATTGACAATTTAGATTGAGTTTTATCAATTCAGTGGTTCCATTAACTTATATTCTGTTAAGCATTCTACTTAGGATAACTGAAGACTGTTAAATAAAAGAAATGAATTCACGTAACCTCAGTGGATTTTTGTGAACTGATGGGAACTCACATTTCACAATTACCTTAGACACTAGCAAAACACACTAATACTGAACTAGTTATCACTAAGCGATTCGGTCATCTTCTTATGCATCAAAACTTTACTAACACTCAAAATAAAAATTTGCTACAGCGATTATTTTCCGTGAATGCCAGTTACTCAGCATTATTCAGCATAATAATTGGTGTACAATGGGGTTGCAGCGTAAACGTAATATCCCATGAATATTCAAACACACTAGTTTACACTTTGCGCTTCCGACAACTACCTAAAACATTGGCAATTAATTCGTCTAATCAGGCTTCCTTTTTGACATTTAACCGTTTGAAACTGAAAAATAATTGATCATGTAAAGTATTGAATGGTTGATAGAAGTGGATAAAACTTTACCCATTACAGTTTACCAACTTTTGAGAACATATATATTTTCAGTTTCATAAGGTTAACAAGCCGTATTAAAAGTTTGAATCCACGTACTATAACACTTTATTGGAGAAGGACAATCCTTTCTACTACCGTCGATCACCTAACATCAAAAATAACTCTACCTTGTGATTTCATTGTATTACTCAGTTCAAAGAAAACTAACTAAAATTGAGAGCTACACTGTAAAATCAATAAAATTTAGTAGCTGGTTCCTCTTGAAAGTTATAACATATAGGTATTCTGTTTACCTACAAGCGCTTTGACACTTACAATATGATACTAGATGCTTGTGACGATTAGTAAAACTGACGATTATGCACATATTATTGTACAATGATTTGATCAATTTTCGATGTCATAACAAATCTTACTCAATCCATTTCAACAAAAACTTGACTAAACCATTGTCATCCTAGAATGATGTCAATAAGATGACCAGCAGAAGGCAAGAAGCGATTGTTGTCCGTTTCTTCTTAGCTTACGTTCGTCACCAGTGACACCACAATACATTGTACATACAGGTAATGAATATAAACAGTGTTTTATTTTGTTATGTCATTCATATCTCACAACTTTGCTTATATCTCTAAGAACAGCTTTCATTTTGTTAACGAGAAAAGTTCTATAAAATGCGTCAAGTACAGATTCGTTGCACTCGAAGAATAATAAGGTAATGCCTCCTAGCCCAAATGACAAAATAACTAATGCAGTTTCACTACTGCTCAATTCGCAATAATCATTTTATGTCTTGCTGTTAAAGTCAAGCTTCACCAAACCTTTTCATCCGAAATATATTTCTCGTGTAAATTATCCTTCCTTCACTGACTAATTTCATTTGATTTTTCTTTTATCCTTTAACTTTCACAACTCACTCCCTTCTCTTAATAGCATATAAATAGACCCTGGTTTACCAACAACTTTTACTTCATCTACAATGAACTCCGAAATTACATTTCTCACAGACACTGTTCATTACCCTTCAGTCTATCTTTTCCTAAATGAATGAAATGACTGTAAAGAAATAGTTTTCCAAAGTCTATGAGATTTTAATAAGTAATAAACCAAATCCTTCTCCTCGAAAACTTGTGGACGTGTTAGAGCCTATGGTGAGGTGTCCGAAGAACTGTGCTCCTCGAGTGATATCCATCAAGGGTACCCACTCTCTCCATTCTTATTCAATTTTATCATACATATTCTTATCCAGGTCTACCTGTCGTCACCTGACTACATACAGGTTGACCTAATCACGGGAGAATTTTCGTTAGACCTAGAATTCGCAGACGACATAGTCCTGTTAGGTGAAGACACTGACAAGATGTAGAGTCTTCTGAACACTTTGAGTGGCAATTTGAGAATGTCTGGGATGCGTTTCCCACCACCAAAAAGCAAATTGTTGCTCCAGGATTGGTCTTCAACAGTCCCACGGATAACAATAGAGAGTGTAGTGGTTGAGTGTGTCGACCACTTCACTTACCTGGGAAGTAAGATCAGACCTGATGGCTCAGTGGCCGATGAAATCTCTGCACGGATACAAAAGGCACGGCTGGCTTTTGCCAACTTATGCCACCTGTGGTGCCGCCGTGATATCCGATTGTCTATCAAGAGTTGCATGTACTGCACAGCAGTCCACTCCCTTCTACTGTATGGCTGTGAATCATGCCCATTGAAGGTCGAAGACATGAGACGGCTGGCTTCAGATGTTTGACTCCACTGTGCTTTCGTATTATAGGTCGTATTCCGTGGTATCACCACATGAGTAACACAGAAGTCAGGTGTAGAGTTTTAGGGAGAAGAGGTAAATCAGTTGACACGGTTGTGAACCTTCATCGACTGAGATGGTTGGAACGCGTGTCATGTATGCCTAGTCACCGTCTGCCTCGTCACACAATGTTGGCCGAAATGGGTTCAGACTGGAAAAAGGCTCGAGGCGGCCAGACTAAAACATGGCATCAATGTATGAAGTCTTTGACTGTTGGTTTGAGCTATATGGGGTGATGCAGACAGCCAGTCAGGGTCCGCGGGACAAGAGAAACCAGTGGTTGGAGACTCTAGGTGATATGGCTCAGAACCTATGTCAGTGGCGCAGATGTATATACACCTTGTCCTCATCTTAACGCTATTCCAAATCTCACCATTTCCTCATTCTTCTCCCTTTCTCTCTTCTCGTACTTTATATTTCATTCGACTGAATTTTCTTCGCTTCATCTTCCACTTCACTGTCTTTTTACTTGATGTACTGATATGAGATGTGGCAACTTGGACCGCTACGTAGTAATGCCTGGTACTATGTTGATTTGGATGGATGGATGTATATCCCATGAATGTCAAGTAATTACAAACGAAACCAAACTTTGAATCAATAGAATTCTTTAAATGTTACTAGATTGTGTACTTTGTACATATAGTTAACTTCGAGACGAATACTAATCCCAATAGCTTTTAATCAAATGGATTTCAGTATGCTGAGTTAATGATTTTCAATGGAAGCACTGAATGTGTTGATAAAATGATCAATAATGAACTGAGCCGTGTTGCTATGTAATCTCCAGTTAACAACATAAAAATTAATAAAATCAACGTAGTAATGAATGACTCTGTATTTACTTGCACAATGAATTGCTGGCTACACAGCTTAAGATGTTTTTCTATTTCACAAAACCAAGATTTACTGAACAGTTTGACTGTACTACTAGACAAAGGTCTGTAGAATTTGAATGCACACATATGCAGATGTTATTTTTCTAAATTTACCTTTTACACGACTTGTACTAACCCAAACAAGATCATATTTTGCAGCTTCGTAGGCTGGTACCATATTATGAACCATAGGATTGATTACTCCATCTTTACCTCCTAGATATTAAAATAAAATGAGAATAAGTACGCTTAAGTCAAGCATTATGGTTGTTTCGCGAGTAATAGAAATGATCTGTGGCATAAATATGCAAATGACAGGTCAAAGAAATAAAATTATGCAACTTTTTCAAATCAAAGGTGTCAAAATAGATAATTATGTAAAACTGACCAGAGATATTAACAAATCTTCAATGCTACGAGCATTTACACTGACATCATGCATGAAAAGTCTTGATAAATAGAAAAAGCAAGGAGAAAATAATAAACAACCGTCATAAATCTGTGATTTCATATTCTTTCTTGACACCATCTTCATTCACTTTTACAAATTATACATAGAAACTAGGCGTTGTATAGAGCCCGCTTACAACTTTTACTTGAGTAAGAACAATAAATTTTGGATAAAGAAAGGAATTCGCCTAATTTTTAGCTCCTTCTTAAAAGCTATAAAGGTTTAAATGTAGCCTAAGAAACTAATGTTTGATCACCAGTCTTAACGTACAATCTTCACGAATGAAATGAACGAAGTTACCATCCCCATAATCGAGATGTTCCAGTTTTTCTGTGAAATAGAATGAGTTGATTTTAGCTTTTTACACACATATTACAATCTAAATTTTGGATAAATATACTGCGTGTATATTCATTTCTAACGTCTCCGATGGGAACTGACGTAAACCAACATTTAGAAGAGTACCAAGAAGACTACAACAAAATTTCAAGATTGATAGAAAGTAATCACTTGCCTTCTCGAAGCACGCTATAGGATAGCAAAAGATCACTTACAGATGTTACCTAGCATTCTAAGCTACCATGCGACTAGTGTAAGGGTAAAATCTGGGCACTGTGTTAGGGAATAATTCTGTATTGGATTGTTCATTTGATATGGCACACAGCGACCCAAGATTATACGAAGTAGTAGAGTTGTAAAAAGCATATGAATCTAATAAGCTTTATAGGCTGTTTTATTAAAATTCCATTTTAGTCTGTTTATTAGGAATATCATACAGTGAAACAGTGGCATTTACTGGATAACGTTTCGGACATAATTTATTGTCCTTATTCATATCAGGTAACTCCACAACTTCGAGACAGTCTTTATATGTCCCTAATTTTTTTTCTCTCATTCTCTGTGATGACAAGGGTAGTAGAATTTTCTATATATCTGTGGCAGGTGAAGAATCATTTTGATTGTAGGTATTTGGGGCTGATTCAACAAACAAAGATCCAGTTATCAATCTCTTCCTCCAACCAACTAAGTTAGTTTTCAACACTGTAACCCCTATCCCACCCTACTGTGTGATTGCGTGTCATCGCATGCAGAGCTATAACCGAGCTTTTCTCTAGATTTATAATCTTATTAGGATCTAATAATCTTGGTTTAGCTAAGCTTTTGTGCTCTGTTATTTTTATCGACCCTGGTCGACTGCCTTGACCTATGTACTTGACCTCGCAATCATTGCAAGGGATCTGGTAAACCAAATTATTCTGCTTAATTGCATCGATAGGATTTTTTAACCTACAAAGTTTGTTTGTTTTATTAAAACTATCTAATCTTTCCCCTATCGTCAAAATACTCACTACACAAAAAACGTTTTGCTATTTTTATTAGTTGCCTAACAAACAACTTTTCGCCTTATAAATTCGGATCATCGTCAGGTACATATGGATGGTATTTTCCCGAAATTACTATACCAAAAATCAGAAAAGAATTTCAAGTAAAACCGAAGATTAAAATTAAGAAAGATTGTCCAGTTGGAAGCATGGGAAAAGTTTCTACGATCTATAACATACATCTTGCTATTCATATTTGCTGTGTTAAAAACGAGAAAAAACACGGTGAGTTGCTTTCCGTGGACAGTCAAATAGATCGTCTCAGTTTCTACATATTACCTCGATATTTCGATCGTATAAAAAATAGAATTTCTCTTAGTGTTTACACAGATAATAAACATTTGTCGATCTGCAGCATTTATAACGTGGTTACTATTCGTCAGTTTTCTGTCAAACTGATATCCTCCCAATAAGTACTGATTCTATGCCGAACTGCAAACTTATGTAACAGTTTATCACATTCATCTAACAAAGAAACTCAAACAAAAACTTAACAAAAGTAAGGCTAACATTCTCGAGATCAAACGTGGAATCCAGAGTTACAAAACTAGTTGCAAACGTTTTACAGTAAGAAGACGAAAAAAGTGAATGTAAACATAATCGGCTCAAAAAATTGCGTTTAAAATTCACAGAAAGATATGGAATGAAGACACCATACCCATTGCCATGAGTTCTGAGCCATATCAATCAAGACTTCAACCACCAGTAATAAACATATCGTCAATTTCAGTCAAGAACCCCCTGATTTATTAACAGTTCAATCTAACAGTTTGCCTTTCACTTACATAAGGTACAGTCAGAGATACGCCACTATTTTATAAATGCTAACTGAAGTTAGTTCTTCAAAAAGTTACTTAGGTCTATTATTAGTGCTTTTGTATTAACTTGAATAATTACTGTACAATATAAAGACCTAGGTAAGAAGAAATCAACCTCGGGAACTCAACTGACTATCACTGGAAAATCTGAATATTTAGATTCGATAGAGCAACTTAATGAAAACTTACAAATAGAACAAAGAAATGTAATTCTCTATCTGACAAGATAAGAAGGCTGAATAACTATACAGATGTATTAAATTGTAATGAGACAAAAAAAGAGTTATCATGTTTGTTTGATAGTCCCACAAGTGGCATTAGTTAAAAGCGCCAGGCTCTGAATCTCATCTGAGGATAAATCGCATACAAAACTATCATCGCTTATCACAAAAAGCTACTAAATCCATCCCTCGGAAGCATTGCAGTGTGTGACAGAAAAATATGGCGAATGGAACCCATATTTTGCATGAATTGTTCTTTCAAAAATGAAAACACTGGTGTGAAAGTTAATAATGAACCACGAGCATGAACACCTACAAAATGGATGGTAAATTAACAAATCTACGATGAAAAACACTAATCTACTTGGTTTTACCTGATCAACTTATGACTTATAACTACCACAAAAAGCATTCGATGCGAGTTAGCTGAAATATATGAACACTTTTAACCTTTCCTTTCAAAAATCAGTGCGTAAGAAATGTTGAGCAGTAGACAGTTATTTAGACTTATTAAGGAGACTGGGGGGAAGGAATGGTCAACAACGTTTAGTGAGACCACAGCGAAGAAGGACGCATCTGCGATTCACTGGAGGAGACGACTAGAATGATGGACAGGACACTTCAAGGAACAGTTTTACTGGCCTCCCACCACCACTGCGTTGCCCACTATTCAGTCGCATCCTGAATGGAACATTGACATAGGCCCTCAAACACTTGCAGAAGTCGTGAAAGCTGTAGGTAACTTTAAACGAGGAAGGGCAGCAGGACCAGGCTAACTAACTCCTCTGGTATACAAGGCCAGTAGCAGAGTGCTCTCAGTCAGGTTAACGGAAGTGATAACTAGTAAATACGAATCAAATACGATCCCCTCTGACTGGTCTAAATCACTGATCATTCTAGTCTTCAAGAAAGGCGAGAAGTCCTCTTGATATGACCACAGAGGAATCAGTCTGACAAACATAGCATCCAAAATTCTAGGTTCTATATTTCTTCGACCCCTGAGTGGAGCTCAGCAACATCAAGCCTTAGAAAAACAGGCAAGCTTTACATCCGGCCGTGCGTTTATGGACCAAACAATAACTCTACGCCAGGCTATGGAACAAAGACACGCTTACCAGCGACCGAAATAAGCTGCATTTCTCGACCTGAAAGCCGCATTCAACCCAATTAATCGATACGTCTTATGACAATGTCTCTCAGTGAAAGGCGCGCCGAGTCACTACATCAACATATTGAAGTCTATCTACTCGAAAACTTGTGGACGTGTTAGAGCCTATGGTGAGGTGTCCGAAGAACTGTGCTCCTCGAGTGATGTCCATCAAGGGTACCCACTCTCTCCATTCTTATTCAATTTTATCATACATATTCTTATCCAGGTCTACCTGTCGTCACCTGACTACATACAGGTTGACCTAATCACGGGAGAATTTTCGTTAGACCTAGAATTCGCAGACGACATAGTCCTGTTAGGTGAAGACACTGACAAGATGTAGAGTCTTCTGGACACTTTGAGTGGCAATTTGAGAATGTCTGGGATGCGTTTCCCACCACCAAAAAGCAAATTGTTGCTCCAGGATTGGTCTTCAACAGTCCCACGGATAACAATAGAGAGTGTAGTGGTTGAGTGTGTCGACCATTTCACTTACCTGGGAAGTAAGATCAGACCTGATGGCTCAGTGGCCGATGAAATCTCTGCACGGATACAAAAGGCACGGCTGGCTTTTGCCAACTTATGCCACCTGTGGTGCCGCCGTGATATCCGATTGTCTATCAAGAGTTGCATGTACTGCACAGCAGTCCGCTCCCTTCTACTGTATGGCTGTGAATCATGCCCATTGAAGGTCGAAGACATGAGACGGCTGGCTTCAGATGTTTGACTCCACTGTGCTTTCGTATTATAGGTCGTATTCCGTGGTATCACCACATGAGTAACACAGAAGTCAGGTGTAGAGTTTTAGGGAGAAGAGGTAAATCAGTTAACACGGTTGTGAACCTTCATCGACTGAGATGGTTGGAACGTGTGTCATGTATGCCTAGTCACCGTCTGCCTCGTCACACAATGTTGGCCGAAATAGGTTCAGACTGGAAAAAGGCTCGAGGCGGCCAGACTAAAACATGGCATCAATGTATGAAGTCTATGACTGTTGGTTTGAGCCATATGGGGTGATGCAGACAGCCAGTCAGGGTCCGCGGGACAAGAGAAACCAGTGGTTGGAGACTCTAGGTGATATGGCTCAGAACCTATGTCAGTGGCGCAGATGTATATACACCTTGTCCTCATCTTAACGCTATTCCAAATCTCACCATTTCCTCATTCTTCTCCCTTTCTCTCTTCTCGTACTTT